AAAATGAAGACATGCACTATCAAAGTGATTTAGCTGACTGATGATTTTGATAAATGAGATAACATTATGGTTGCATTTGATTGTATATATGAAGGTGAAAAATAGATTATGAACTCCATGGAAATTGGTACCAAAAAGGAAATAAATTCTTTCTTCTTAATTTGTCTAGTGTTCCACGATGAATCTCTGAAAATTAAAAAATAAAAAATAAAATAATGTTCTTTTCCAAAACTTACTCTTCTTAGTTTTTTATATTTAACATGTAAATAAACTTTGTAAAATAGCTTCCTTAGGGGAATTGTTGAATTTTCATTCATTTTGGAAGATTGTCTAAGTTTCAAACATTCCTTTGGGAAATGATAGTGCAGCAATATGTTTTTCTTTTTTTTTGTTAAAAATGGTGATTACATGAGCCCCACCTTGTTTAATAAGGTGTCTTTGTTTCTCTGTGAAATGGATATATATAACTTTTTTTTTTTTTTAAAGTTCAGCTATATATTATTTCTACCCCCTACTCCTAAATTGTTTCAACCTAAATGGCAAGGAAAATTATAGATTACATTGCAAAGTAAAAGAAAACCATCATCATCATATAAGACTTATCTCAACTGGATCAGCTACATCATCTATGCCTTATGACATTTTGTTTAGTGACATATCCATTGTAAAGGATAGAAAATATAGGCCAAGTATTTCATCCTGAAAATAATTATACCGTTAATGGAAAAGTTTCACCAAATCATCACTTGTTTTGGTAATGCCACATCATATGTAGAAATATACTCTTTGGCAACATTGTTTCCTTTAATGAAGATAAAAGGTGGGGTCCAAATCACCAAACCATTTTTTCTTTGCCAAACCAAACAAGATGAGATTTTGTTTTTTGCTTCTCTGGGTTAGGCACATGGTCAGGACTCAGAACTCATGAGTTTGGGACACAAAAATCTAAAAGGAATGTCGGTCTCTATGCTACTGAGATTGATGATTGATAAAAAATAATAGAAAAAGAACATTGGGGGCCACCATTAGGCAATTGGTTGTCTCTTGTCTACTTGAAAGTGGACTATCTAATGATAAATGGGCCAATGCAATTCTTCAATGGCACAATCGAGCAAAATTGAGAACTTCATCTATATCATATTATATGGGGTCCTCTCACCTAAACACTTTCACAGGCTCTGACAAAATCTCTATTAACCCTCTTTTCCCCTAATATGTATGGTTAGAAAGCTCTCCCTTTCCTATATCCCTCTTCACTCTCGCTTGGGCTGGTTGAATTGGATTTAAGGCCAACCTAAGCCCAACCCTAAGATATAGATCTTGGGCCTGTTACCAGCCCATCTTGAGGTTTAAGCCCAAAGCCCAAGTTTGCCAACCCCTGCCCAACCAGAACTGCACTTAAAAAGTTAACATAACTAAACCCTGGTGTTAGCTTTTGGTTGGCTGGTCATTATTCTACCATCAGAAACGAGAAACCCCATCATAATCTTATTAACACAAAATAATGGCAATCAAAATCCCTCTTTTCTTTTCTTTAATTCCTTTTGAATGCAACAGTGTGTGGTTTTTAAAATAAATATATTTACACGTCATGCAAGAAATATATGGTGTGGGTCCATCCAAAATATGGACTGAATAAATTTTAGTTGAAATTAAAAATATATGCAAAGTGGCGCTGGTCTCTACCTAACTTTTAAATTATTAATCAATTAAATCTAATTTAGTTTCTCAATTCAAATAAAAAGGCCCATCACAAAGTCGTTCTGGTGTTGGTCTCGTTATTTTAGATAAAGTGGGATGCTTAATTATAAATCAAACCTACTTTACTGTGTTAAATCAAATACAGAACAGCCTAAATTCATAAGACTTGTAAAAATAGTGGCTTTTGAACAAAATATGTGCATATAATTTCTCATTAAATGGTTTGTAATGGAAGGCCTTTACTACGATTTTAATAATAAAGTAAAATTGTATATAAGGAAAGAAAGTTTTAATTTTTCTGTTTTCTTCGTTTTCTTCAACTTTTGCATTTATTTTAATATCAAATATTATTATCTTTTATTTCACTTTTTTTATATTTTGTTATTACTTAAATGCCATGATACATGGTTGAATGATCTTTTGTAACTTTTTTCTTAAAATCATCTTCTCTAATCTTAACAACACTAGTTATTTATTAACTGGTATATACTTAAGTTCTGCTTTGGCTCACAAGAATTGGGGTCTGGAATCAAAACCAAAATGACCCATTCTGATTTCATCCATTTGTAGGATTTTAATCCTCATTCATAATGGAATGACATTTCAGTCTCCCTCGTTCTCATTGGGAGTCATGCATGTTTTATAAAATCCAATATCCCAATCCCAATTCCTGTCTAACCAAACAAATATAGGTGATTCTAATTTCGAGTTCCAGAAGACGTCAATTCCGATTTCCACCTCTTCTTTCAATGTAATTGGGAGACAGCTATCTGGTTCTCTTCATCCATGGGGTTTTGGGTTAGTGATGAAAATTTCACGCTGACTCAATGGTCAGGGGAATGAGCTAAGATTGATAATGGTTTCTCCCGTACGTGGCTTTTCTTCTGGCTAGCGGTGCTATCTTCCTTTGGCATCATATGTGGAAGGCAAGATGCAAGGTATCGGTATCGATTGAAAATCTCCATTATGAGGAGTTAACTTTGGCTGTTGGCCCCCAATAACCACCTGTTGTTGAGAGGATTTTAGGCCCAGACACTTTTACCAATTCATGCCCATATTTGTGATTATGGTTAAAAAGAAATAAGGAGAAATTACTATTTTACCTCATTTTATGGCAACGTGGCATTGCCAAAAATATTCTCAACAACAAAGGCTATCGGCCCCAACAATCAAAGTTTTTCCCATTATGAGATTCCTAAAGTGGTAGCCGGAGGTCCAAATTTCTGAGATCAGTTATAGAATCCAAATGCCAGGTATTAACCAGGCCTCTTCTTTTAACAGGGACAATGCAAGTGCCCGTTGGACCAGACCCCTAAGAGGGCTTTTTTAAAATTAACTTTGATGAAGCCTCGAATATTCATGCGTCAGGTATAGGAGTTATAATCCGTGATTGTTTTGGTGGCTTCTCCTCTTCACTTCCCCCCCAATGTCAGCTTTGGAAGTGGAGTCTCGAGGGCTTTTGGAAGGTTTAACTTTTGTTTGGAATTGGGTATCACTTTGGTGGCAAATTTAACATATAATTGTGATTGCAGAGCTCTTTTTCATTATTTCTCTCACAATTCCGTGAAAATTCATTCCTCGTTAGGGATGCTCATGGTTTAGTTAATCGAACTATTGGTTTTTTTTGTAATTGAATTGGTATTATCGGTTTTGAAAAATCGGTAGCTGAAACCGAATCAAAACCAATCGATTAACTAATTGACCGGTTTAGTTAACCATCGATTTGGTTCGTCAGTTTTTCGGTTTTTTATTTTTATAATATATAATAAAAATATATATATATATATATATATATTTATATATATATATATATATAATATCGATTAACTGCTGGTTTTTTATATTGGTTAACCAAAACCGAATTGGTACCTTCGGTTTTTTCTAAATATTGAATCAAAACCAAACCGACCAATTCGATTAATCAATTCCTCGTAGCTAACAAGGCTGGTCATATTCTTGCTAAGTTTGGCTTAAAATTCTTAAGGCTCATACCTAATCGGCATGCCCTGCTGAGTTCTTTTTAATGAAATTTGCCTAAGTGGGCTTCAAAAAAAAAAAAAGAACCCTTACTCGTTTTCCATAACCTCTTAAATAAGTTTATATTAAAATCCATGCAATGTTTATTATTAGGTTGAAGAAAAACCCCTTTCTCTTTGTGATCAAATCGTTGTTTTTCCTAGGTAAATGATGATCTGCAGTTTTTCTTTTTATTTTTTTTCCAGTGCAACAAATTTAAATTTAATATATATATATATATATATATTGTACTTTTTTAAATGTATTAATTTGTTTTAATTAATTACATTCAAATATTAAAATATTTAAACAATTATCATTTATAAATATTAACATTATATCACATCATTAGAATATATTAGTTCAAATTTTATGGCCTAGACGTGAAGCCAAGGCAAATATCGACGTTATGTAGTAAAGATAATTCCCCAACCTCCATTAAACAAAATAATAATAACGCTTTCTGTTTTTATTTATTCTTGTTTTTAAAAAGAAGAAATGTCTAGGGGGCACCGGCACCCTGTTTTCCTTGCAAACCATCTTCAAGTAAACATGTCGCATATGTGATAAACAAGGTGGAAATTGATACGGTGGTCCTGAGGACCATGACACTTGAGAGTTGAGACCCCGTGACTCTGATCCGCTGTACCCTCGGATATACGATCACAAACTAACCTCCATTTTTTATACCAATCACTTGGTCTAGTACCGTGTAAGTACCGGTGAGCTATTCGTAGTCGTCAGATTGGAATTCAATGACATAATATCTCGACTTCGTAAATTGGTATTCGAAGAAAAATCGAGTCTCCTTCTTTTTCAAACTTGATAGAAGATCTGGAACCAACGGCTGTGATATTCTATATACGATCAAAAGCCGTTGACGCAGAGATCTTTTGATGACGTCACCTTCCGGAAATTAGTGCTGGGCGTCACGTTAAGATGGTGGTGGGACTGAAAACCATGTACAGATTTTTTTAGCGGTTTGGTGTTTGGGCCTGACAAAAAATAAATAAAAAACCGCCGGTGTTGAAGTTAAAAGTCTGAAGAAGGCCACGAAATCGGGCCCACCGTCTCGAATAAAAATAGAATAATAATATTCAGAAAACATGCATGTGGGGCCCGCAGCAGGCGCACCACGGACGGTGACGGGCCGCTGCCTGCGTGGAAATCTGGTGTCACTGCTGAGCTGGCAGAGCGTAGCGTTTCACCCCGTCGTATCGCCACACTACGAAGGCTCGGGCTTCAAGTGCGTGCCCCCGACCATCCAACCGTCCATCGGACGGTCCTCCGAACCCCCACCCTTAGCTTAACCTGCGCCCCTTTTTTCTTTCCATATTTATTTTGTTAACATGCTCTCTTTCTCTTTGTTCTTATTTCCCCAGCCTTTGCTTCAATCTGTCTTCCTATCCGAAGTCGCAAAACCCTAGTTTGCTTATCTCCTGCTGTTCGATGTCGAGGGGTCATCCGTTTAACTGAAAGCGGGGAATTCTACGGTTTTAAGCCAAGGTACTAATTTTATCCATTTTTTGTGTTGATTGTTCAGCGTTTCCTCTCTGAGATCTCAATTTTCTCATTCCGTCAGTGTTTTTGTGGGAAAATCTGTTTCTGTGATTTTTGATCTTGTGAAGATTGTTTGGTTCTGTTGAACCTGCGTAGGTTCAAGCTCGTGTGACTCTTGATTCCTTCATTTATTTTCAAAACTTGAATTCTGTATCGGTTACTTGCTTGTTTGATTTAGTAACATAACATGCTGGTAATTTATTTGTGGTCCAAAGCTTTCTAGTTAAATTTCTGGATAAAGATTGTGTAATTGTGATATGATTTTACTTGAGAAATAGGTCCTGCTTCCATGTCTGATCCAGTTTTAAAGCTGGTTACAGAAATTCACGACGCTTAAGGCTTTTTGAGTTTTTAGGTATAAAATTATGAAAGCTTGTCAAGAAAGTAGGTTCTCTCTTATATGCCAGGAAATTTCCCCTCGGGAAAGGAGTTACTTTTTCTCTCTCCAATTATCTCTTCTTTTTGCCTTCTTTTCTTTCTTCTTTGGTAAGGACGTACTTATCTGCTTCTGTTTTCTCTCCCCCCCCCCCCTCTCTCTCTGTAGAGTGTGGGGTCTTGTTATTTTTTTTTGGTCCTTTTCGGATTTAATAGTCAAGCTGTGCTACCTTCCATGCTTCTGGCGCCATAGCGACGAGTCTGTAAAATTTGTTGGTAAGTCATGTTCTTGTGTTTATTTCGTTTTTGTCACCATATTACGAAATAACGGATTCATCCACTGCTATTTAATTATTGCGTATTTTTTCGCAAGCTTTTCAATGTCAGCCAGCTTTGCGTAGCTTTTCCAGTTTGTTTACATCTGGGTCGTCACCTGTTCTGCTTCCCTGGTTTCATCACCAAAAAGCGATTTGTAATGCCACATCTATTTCATCTTTCAGCAAGATCAGTTATTTTGGTGTTTGGAATAGAACTTTTGAGATTGTTTTGGCTGCTTCTTTTTTTCTGCATCTGAAATTTTCATCCCTTAAGTCTAGACCTCCTTACATGTGTGTATATATTATATTGTCTGGCATTTTTTTTTTGAGACGGCCAGATGGGTTTCTTGCAACTTGTTTACTTCAATATGTTGCTATTTGGTTCCAAATGTGTTTTCTTCTGATCTTGTCAGTAAGAAGGTAACTAGATCTGAATAGAGTTCCTTGGTTAAAATCATAATAATGAATATTATCTTCGTTTAATGCCTCTATTGTATGGCTTGCTAGCCCTGCAAGCATGGAAATGTAATCATACAGATGGGTGGCTATATCTTGGAAAGTAAAGCCCAAAAATCAGATGGAAAACAACAGACATCCCCCCCCCCCACACACCCATAAGATTGTTTTCTCTGGCCATCAAGTGTTTTTCCTGGCTCTGAAGGAAATCTATCTCGTCATCTTTTCTTCTTCCTTTTTCCCCTTGGTAACCTTGGTTTGATGCCCATGGACCCCATTTTTTGGCAATTACATCAGTGCCGTGGGATGTCATAAGATTGATTTGAAAGATATGTTTTGTTGGTTTCTTTGAGGAGTGAAGGAATTACTTAATCTGTTACCCTCCTTTTTTTCTTGGAACTGAATAATCTGTAAGCTTTGCTAATAGGTCTCAGATGTCAGGGTGCAAATCGCATAAGCAATTTATAGTTTCTAGTTTCTACCTTACATCAAGCTCAGGTCTGTGTCCCCTGAAGAAATGCTCAAACCAAGCCCAACCAAGTTGCACTCTTACTTGACCCTATTGGAACTGATGTGTCTCTTGGGATAATTTTGGTTGTTTGAGCTTTCTTCTTAAGTAACTTCTATCATTCAATAGCACTAGGAGGCTATGAAGATCCTATGCATATTCCATGTCTATGGTGTACATCACAGGTTGGGTTTACCTACTGTCTGCATGTAATTTGGATATTCATCCTTAAACAGATAAATAATGAAAGCAAGAATTAATATCTTCTTGTTATGAGTCGCACTGACCTTAATTTAAACGGTATTAATGGAATGCTCTTTTTTGTGATTTAATTTCTTAATAGTTGTCAAAATCTTTCACTTTGCAATATGATTCATGATTCAATTCTGAAAAATCTTGTGATTTTTGTTTAAGACTTGTGTTTTTATTCATGAAACTTACCTTATGAGTTATATGATTCATGCGATTCAAATCAATTCAGTCAGGATCTGGTTCTTACTTCTTAGTCATTCCTTTGTTTACATTTTTGCTAGGGGCTTTGTGTTGAACCCTTGTTATAATCAAATTTATTATGTTATTTTAGACCTTTTTTACCAAAAAACACCTTTAGAAACCATATCAAATATATTTTTCGCCATGTATAGGTTTAAGATCCATTATGTGTAGGTTAATTTTTTTGGTATAAATATTTAGGTTAATTAACTTCAAGTTAAACTTGGTTTAACAATCTTACATTGATGCGTGTAGTAAGCTCTCTATTTTATCAAGTGCATATATGGTGCATATGGATTAAAAATGGGTAAATATTTTTCTATATATAGTTAGGTTTTTGGTTCATGTATGTGTAAGTTGTTGAAAATTTTGTACAAAACAGAAACAATCCTATGATTTACATTACAATATACAATTCAACTCAAGTTAATCTTACTCCACCATTTATATTACCATTATAATTTTCAAAACATTTAACTACTGGGGTTGGAGCAATCTTAGTGACAATGCACCAGAACAAAGCCTTCACTGTGGTCTGATTAGGATAAAAGGTTCTAGTTTTCTTATCTTTTGATGTAAGCATGCCTTGGGTTGAAAGATCATGTAAATTGTTGTCAATGAGTTTTTCCCGTCTAATTGTCCACTTGTTTTATTGGTCTTATTTTCCTTTTCTTTTCAAAATTCTGTTTCATATTTGGATTCAATGCCTGTACCATGCTATTTCTCTAATCACACAATTTCTCCTGGAACAGGATGATTGGTTGCAATGATGCCTGTATGAAGTATAGAAGTTCTTGTGGATTTGTCTTCATCTGCTATTACTGATTGATCCAAGTGTTTCCTTAGACTCTCACAAAATGGATCGTTGTGACACATCAGGGTTTGTCAGTGGGGGGGTGGAATGAACTCTTTTGCACACCTCTAACACTAACCGTTCAAAAAAAAAACAAAAAAACAAACTTTTCTCATTGTCCTTCTTTTGTCCCCGGAAGTCAGGCAGGCTGCTTTTTTCTTCATAATATTGAGATTCAGTTTGGTGAAGAGGATCTTTGTTTTTTTTTTTTTTCGGAAAAAAAGAGTACATGGATCCCAGGTTTCAAAACTTGGGTTTCTTTGATCCTAACCCTTCTCCTAATGCATTTGAGAATCTGAGCAAAGTCATACAAGTTGGAGAAGTTAGGGCTGATTGTTGCACAGATACCACCTTAAGGCTTGATTCCGCTGGTGCTTCTTTTCCTCACTTTTTGACATCAAAAGGAATTAAAAGGAAGTGGAGTATGATTGATGGGTCAATGGGCCTAAGAGATGGCTCATCTCTAGTTCTTGGGCTAGGCCATCCATCAAGTTCTTCAGACAGTAAGGGAAGTTCGGCAACTGCATGCACAACCATGTCTTCAGCCAAAGAAACTGAGGAGGAGTCTTCAATGGACATTGCCTTGGATTTTGTTCTGCACTTGGGGAATGAGAAGTCACCTAGCCCTAAGAAGCCTGCCATTGTTACTCCAAAGGAGCTGGAAGTGAGACCCAAGTTTGACCTCGAACTAAGTCTCTCAACTGGACCTGCTGAGTCAGATATAACAAGTGTCACACTCAACTCAACTCTTCAGAACAATTTAGAAATGCCAATGATGGTTAGCATGAACCCACAGTTGGATGAAGGATCAACATCTTCCTGCGATAAAATGAAGGATTCTATGTTTTTGTTGTGCACACTACCAAACACCATGCCTGGCTTTGTTCTTAACCAAATACCTGGCAAAGCAGATCCAGGATCCATCATTCAAGATCTCTCATCAAACATGGCAGCCACACCAAAAATATCAGCCACCTGTACTTCCGGGGTAACTCAGCCAAAGCAGCATCAGCAACAACACCGCAGCACTAGTGCAAAGACATGCCAGTTCAAAGGATGTTCAAAGGGAGCCAGGGGTGCTTCTGGCCTTTGTATTGCCCACGGAGGTGGTCGGAGGTGCCAGAAAGTTGGTTGCAACAAGGGAGCAGAAGGTCGTACTGTGTACTGCAAGGCCCATGGTGGTGGTCGTCGTTGCCAATTCCTTGGGTGCACGAAGAGTGCCGAAGGCCGAACAGATTACTGTATTGCACATGGGGGTGGCCGGCGATGTAGTCATGAGGGTTGCATCCGAGCTGCAAGAGGGAAGTCTGGCTTGTGTATCCGACATGGAGGTGGCAAGAGGTGCCAGAAGGAGAACTGCACAAAGAGTGCAGAAGGACTCTCTGGCCTTTGCATCTCTCATGGAGGTGGCCGTCGTTGTCAGTTTCCAGCATGCACTAAAGGGGCTCAAGGGAGCACAGTGTTTTGCAAGGCACATGGTGGAGGCAAGAGGTGCACAGTTATAGGGTGCACAAAAGGTGCAGAAGGAAGCACACCCTTCTGCAAGGGCCATGGTGGGGGGAAAAGGTGCTCATTTCAAGGAGGTGGAGTCTGCCCAAAGAGTGTCCATGGAGGTACGCGTTTCTGTGTTGCACATGGAGGTGGAAAGAGATGTGCTGTACCAGAGTGCACCAAGAGTGCTAGGGGACGGACAGATTACTGTGTCCGCCATGGAGGGGGCAGGAGGTGCAAATTTGAAGGATGTGGGAAGAGTGCCCAAGGGAGCACCGACTTCTGCAAAGCACATGGTGGGGGGAAGAGGTGCTCTTGGGGGCAGCTGGGGTCAGAGTTTGGAGGCCAAGCAGCCCCTTGTGATCGGTTTGCAAGGGGAAAAACTGGACTCTGTGCTGCCCATAATGCCTTGGTGCAAGACAGGCGGGTGCATGGAGGTGGCACATTGGCACCTAAAGTTGAAGATCCAAAACTTTGCAAACCTGAGAAGATGAAACAGGTTGTTACTTCTGATGACATGAATGTTGATCTCAGGAAGTTAGATAGCAGTGAAGGGAACCTTACAGGTTGGAATGCTATCTATTCAAAAGGATACGGACATCCAGCAATATCACTGCAGCTGCCTTCACAAGTTAGTCATCCAATTCTGAAAGTAAGCGCACCACCAGGTCCAGTTTCTCTTCCTGAAGGTAGGGTGCATGGGGGTAGTCTGATGGCGATGCTGGCAGGAAATACAAGTATAGACCCAAACACTGAGACTCAAGTTCTTGGTGGCTCATCCAAAGCCGGGATGTCTTGTATCATGCCTCACAGCTGGGTGTAAGCTTTTGATAAACCAAGAAGGTTACCAATCTCTCCCTTCTCGTTTCTGATTTGGTATTTGATAGAGCTTGTGCTTGTTTGGGTCCTGTGTTTTTAGTGTTGCATTTACAGATGAGAAAAATGGAAGTTTCTCAGTCATTTGATTTGTGTACGGTGATAATGGTCTAAACCTTGAAGTATTTGTTTGACACCCTTGTGAAGCCAAGGGGAAAAGCGTAGGCATTGTCTAGTCTTTTTATTAGAATTGGTAAGGTTGTCTCCTGTAAATATCTATAATATTTTATGTGCAGTCGTGTGAATATATCGCGTTAGCTTAATTCCGTCGATGCTGTTTTACTGTGTTTACTGGGATTGATTACTTTATCTAAGATTTTCCTGTCGAGTTAGATTCTATCTTTTTTAACATTTTCTACATGGTGATGGTGTAGCAAAAGTGAACTCTAATACAGAGATGGTTGGCTACAGTTTTAGGATGATCCTAGCCATCCATCTGTCGAGCAAGAAGTAAGAACAGGCTATAATGGTGGAGGCGGGGGAGACCAGTGGTATCATCCCGACGACCATCCAATTCCTATCCATCGCATGATCATAGGTCTATGCTTTGATTTTTCATCCAAGGACCATGAGAGAGAGTTTCTGAGCACACGTGGAACTGAGTACCCTATGTTTTTCTGGCAAAAGGAACTGAGAACCCTATACGTGGAGGTTTCAACTTTCTGAGCCCACATCAACTTCACGAATGGGAAATCCATGGCATTTCAACTTTCGTCCGCAGTCCGCACCATCCAGCTAAAAAAAACTTTCTTCCGCACCACTCCTGTCAAGGTTTGTCTAAGCTATGAGATGCTTTATAGTTTGTTCCACCTTGACCTTGCTACGGAACAATGGAATATCATTGATAAATGGGCCATATTTATTCTGCAACTTTAAACCTCAAAACTTGGAGTCCATCCATTGATCCAACACTAAAACCAGTCTTGTACCGACGTGGGCCCCCTCTGATTCCTGTCTAATGGGGTAAACAGGGCACTATCCTGATTCGTAAAATGCTAGGTTTCCGGTTTCCCTACTCTGTTTTGTATAATTTGTACAAGGTCCCCTTTTATTTATTTATTTATTTATGTTTGCTTCTTGGCACTATACGTAACCCCCCACCACCACCACCCCCCCCCGGGGATTCAATCCAAAATTTGACCCAGTACGATCGTCTGTCTTCCTAGCACGTACCCCCTTGTATCCTCCCCCTGTTCCATTACACTATCACCATTACCTTCTGTGTGAACTGTGAGGCTATAAGCATGTCCATTTTTCTATGCTAGGAAAAAAAATCAAATAAAGATTTTTGAAAAATTCTTTTAAAAACGACTCCTCTCTCATCCTCTTGGAAATAACTCTTCTAGTTTTGAGAGGTTCAACTCCACTCCTGACCCAGGTAAAGTTGATGTGGGCCCTCCAAAGATTGTACTCTTTGGCATGATGATGGAGCAAGGTTTAGCTGAACGCTTTAGCTGTTCAGCACGCTGTGGAACCAAAGATAAGGTTCTACGCCACTATTAAGTACATGGGGCCTGCCGTGAAACCTCATCATTGGGTCTACAGCCTGCTGAACAGCTAAAGCATTCAGTTAATCCAAAATCGATGACATGCCCTATAAACCATCCAGCCAGGAATTTGGATGGGCTTCACACTAAGCACGCCCCACAGCCTATCCCCCACTCCCCCGTGCATTAGGAACATCTCCTCTGTTTGTCATGGGTAGATGTAGATGTTCCCAAATCACAGAGGTGGATTGTGGGGCGCATTCTATGGGGAATCCATCCGAGATCGGCTTCAGTCAGTGCAAGGCCCATTCAAATAGCCTTTACAGCCTTGCATTGGGAACATCTCCACACTTTTATGCTATAATGGGTGTTCGAACAGACTTTGCACTGATTGAATCCAGTTTCAACCCATCCCATTAGGGGTGTTCATGGGTTGGGTTGATTCATTTTCTTCCACCGACCCGACCTAGTTGGTTTATTTATTGACTAAACCGAAACCGACCGACCCTGAAGCAAAACCGATCCAAACATGAAGGGTTGGTTTATCCGTTTAGTCAATTTTTATATATATTTTTTGAACTAAAATATTTATTTATATTTAAGTTTATTTCTTTTTAATTTTTATACAAAATCAAAATATATATTTAAATCGATTAGTTTTTATGCAAAACTGAATTTTTTTGTCAATATATATTTAAATTTAGACAAAACTGAATTAAATATTGTACCATTGTATTATATTTGTATTGGTTTTATTTTTTAGTTTTTATCATAAATAATCATTTTTTTCAAAGTTTAAACAAAACAAAAATAAAATATATCAACATTTAACATATAGGGTAGGGACTAATTAATAATTACTTAAACATATAGGATCAATTTGGTTCAGTTTGGTTTCGGTTTTCATTATGAAAATCGAAACCGACTGATGGTTTTGAAAAACCGATCACCTCGGGTTGGGTCAGGCCGGTTTGATCGGTTTGACATTTAATGTGAACACCCCTACATCCCATCTCTTCAGAAAGGACTAGGGGTTTGGATTTGGTCCTCACAGATATAAGGTTAGGATCTGCTACCAACACAACGTTCCCAATAATGTTCCAAAAGGCCACTGCGGCACATTGGGAACATCCCCCTTATCATTCATGGGGAGCTGTTCCCCATAGTATCTTGCTGGGACAGTGTTGGGAGGGATTGTTGGTGGCAGATCTGAACTCGATTGAAAGGATTTTGAAAGCCAGCCCCAAGTGCAAGTGCAAACCTCCCGGAAGGAGTTTCCTTCCCTGCTAGTTCAAGATACTCATCTTTTACCCAAAAAAGTCTTCGAACCTTCATGTCCCCCTTTATACTTTTTTCCCTGTAAGCTTATATCAGGCAGTTGGTCTCTCAAACTAATCATTGTCAGCGTAGAACTCAATTCGGCAACCTGTTGGCGCCAGCAGTTCAGGAATGCAAGCATGCAAGTCCTCTGGGTCCAGTTGCACTTGCACAAGGAACAATCTGGCCGACTAACGCAAGCATGCACTCTTCAAGTCACCCTAGTAACCATTGTCCTCTGATTCTAAGTTGCACCTTCTTCTCCGGACATCCATTCAAAGTTCAGTTAGGATTTGATTCCATGTATTTCATCCCCCCTTGTGATCTCGTTCTGGTTCAAACTGTTGCCACATCTCATGCTTTATATTCACAACGAATTTTGCCCTTGAGAGGCTTTTACCAGACCCAACACAGCTGTTTATGTCAAAAACCCTAATTGCATGCACACACCATATCAGTGGACTTTCCGTTGGTTGTATTTGTTTGTTCCACGTGGACTCAGTTTGGAGATGGTATCTCGCTTTACATTTTCAGAATTCAGATAAGAGACTAGAAAATTCTATTAATTAAAGGCTGCCAGTGACCCTTAAAGGAGGCCAAAGATGCCAAACCAAAGAAAATGAGAGAAGTTATACTACACAAAGTCAAAATGAGTGAAGTGCATCTTTTCCAAAAAATAGAAAAGAGAAGGAAAATAACGAGAAAATTTCTTCATTGTATGTTTACAACCACAAAATGCAGATAGCTCTTGAGACTATGAAGCATGTAGGGCATCATAAAAGTTGTAGAACATACCATTTGTCCACATGATCAGGACTACACAGAAATACGGCCAGCAAGACAACAGTACATCTTCTAAAGCTCAAATCCATTGTGGGGGGAAGCAGAAACCATTTTATGCCCGTTTCCATCTGATGCCTCATCTACACTCTCCTTACCTGGATATTGTGAGTGGACTGGGAACGCCAAATGGGCTGTCTGCCACTCTGAAGAAGAGCCACCTGTTCCCCTTCTTTCACCATCCCTTGTTTCTGAACCATTCATCACAGTTGGACAAAAATTTCTTGAGTTTTTTAATTTGTTTTAAAGTAAATCTTCCAACAGATAGCAATCACAGCTGGTAAGATATATAATAACTGGCAAGATATACTGCAGAATTACCAATGCTATTAGAACTTTTTATCAAGGTTCAAAATATTGATATGCCCCTGTATATCGGCAGAGGCGTATCGGTACCAAAAAACATCTGTTTTTATATTTTTTTGTTTTTTTAAATTGTATTCTGGATACTTTCTTATATATTTTTTGTATTAAAAAAGGAGGGGTCCCGAAACACCTGGGGCGTATCGTATTGAAATTTTGATCCTTGCTTTTTATGATAGAGATCTGGTTTTATCAAGATTCAATGGACAGCAGTACAGCATATGAGCCGGTTGATCAATGGACAGCAGTATAGCTCACATATTAATGCCATGGGCAACACTATGGACAGCAGTATGTGCCAGTTGATCAAGGATCTTAAACATCAGCTTTAAAGCTAAAATTGTTTAGCCAAAAATGAAAAGGCAAGGTCAACTTCCAAGAGAAAACTGTATCTACAAGATGGCAAGGGAACTCCTCTGGTATTGGGTTATGGCAGTCGGCAGTCCAATCCCACCATATTATTTCTTGTACAGATTTTTATTCTCATTATTAATAAATTTCTGATTGTTGTTGCTTATCAAAAAATAAATTATGCTGACAATTAAAATACAATAAATTTTTATATCCCCGTGGAACATCCTCTTCACCTGTGTCACTGTAGGGGTTCAACATCCACCATTTTAATGGTGGATCCTGTGAACCTGAGGAAGAAACAACCTGAAATGCTGCTGTGCTACCACACTCCTACATCCAAGGACTAGGCATGCACCATTAGAAAAGTTGGGGAACAAGCCTATCATTATTTTTGTAGCAGAATTTGCTCTGCATCCTTTCCAAAGATAAGTAGCCTTCTTTATTGTAACAAACAAAGCAGGGGGCACACTAGTTAGACCAACAATAGATCAGGGTTGACGATATCCAATTTGATCAACAGTAAGATCATGGAGGTCCAATCTATAGGAGTGCCAACGGACCAATTTTGGGTTGGACCCCATCCAAATAAAAATCAATTTGGACGGATTGGACAGACCAGTAAGACATTGAATTGGACTAGTTCAGGCCTAATGGTCAAAAGTATTTATTGGATTGGATTGGATCTGGTCCATCTGTAATGAATTTATATTAGATTGGGTCGGATAGAACCAATATCCAGTCCATTGATATAAGAATAAAGGTGACAATGAACCAAGTTTTTATTAAAACCAACTTGAACAGATTGGGCGGTCCAGACATTGAATTGGACCAGTCCACAATGGTCCAAAGTATTCACCGGATTGGATTGGACCTGCTTAACCAGATACATGAATGGCATTTAGAAATTGTACCAACCTAACCAATATCCAGTCCATTGATATAAGAATAAAGGTGACAATGAACCAAGTTTTTATTGAAACCAATCTAAATTAAAACCAACTTGAACAGATTGGAAGGTCCAGACATTGAATTGGACCAGTCCACAATGGTCCAAAGTATTCATCGGATTGGATTGGACCTGCTTAACCAGATACATGAATGGCATTTAGAAATGGTCAGTAGTGCGTTTTTAGGTTCAATATGTCATGGCTGGATAATAGTTGGTTCTTAAATGTTAAACACAGAATCTAAAAATGCATCCCAAGACCATTTTATGTTGGTCCATTTAAAAAGAATTAATGAGTACTCAGAACTAATTAAAGCCTGAAGGAAGTGTAAGATCAGTCCCACTAAAATTACCTGCAACAAAGATAAGGCATTTGCAAAGGTTTCTTCAGCATCATCTGAGAACTGCATGTACAAGGGGCATACCCCTTGGTACAAAGCCAGTCTTTGTCTAACTCTCTCCCTGCATGCCATCATGTTCAAATATGGTCAGTCCATCAATGCAAGAGGATAGAATCAGACCCTACATAGTGCCATAGACAAGATAGGAATGTTTATTAAAACAGGTCTCTTGGATGATGTAAACACCCAATCGTTTAGGCATTGCATGGATGCTCAAATTATGAGGATCCAAAAGTTACATGTAAATGAGAAAGTTAGTATAACCTTCCTACATAAGCTCATGGTTGCAAGATCAATGATATTGATCCAAGTCGCCCTCTAAGCCTCATGCTGTGCACAGCACATGTAGGGAAAATGGCTTCTCTCCTCCCACCAAAACTTGGATCTTCCTCTAGAAAGAAAAGTGTGATGAATTTAGTAGATATCATAAGACTCACTCATTTGTAAAGGCAAATATAGTGCCAGAAGGTCGGTAATGGCTCAGCAGGATAGCCATGAATCCAGTTCTGGTGAAGACTACAATAGAGGTCCCAAGGGTGTTTGACATCATGGTTGCATGGAATGCGAACATTTCACTCATATGGTTCTACAAGAGATAAGAGTTTCCAGTAAGAGTTGAAGTCTCATGTTCAGAAGAAAGATTTGAAACATTTAAAAATTGAAAAGGCATAACGAGTAACCAAATTATTTAAGGCAACCTTAAAGGCCTGACTAAGATTCAGAAGCCTTTCACCTCCAACCATAGTTGCTTCAGTCCTTAAAGAGACCGTGTGCATAACCTTCACTGCTTTGAGTGGAAACCTGCAGGAAAGCAATGTAAATGGACTTTCATATACAGTGGAAGTAAAATAAATCTCTATATAAAAGGAGCATTATCAATAAAATAACAATGTAAATGTCTCTTAGAATAAAAAATTGAGGCAACCATATCTTTCACTTAAAGGGACATAATGCAATATTTGCATGTGCACAACTATGCATGATGAATGTGTGTGCACATATGTATGTACATAAGCGTTAATGTATGGATACATGAACATAGTTCTACCCCTAAAAAATTTTTGAGTTGAGCCCTCAACAACTTGAAGAAATATTTCTGCCACAGCATAGCAATTGCATGGGAGGAATAAACTACTTCTCCCTTGTGCTATCTTCATTGATATTGGAAGAGACCACCCACTAACCTGACAATATTAACTGCCAATCACTTATTCTTGCACTGCCCAAATGCTAGCAAAGTTTGGAGTGCTCTTTTGGATACTTTTCGCTGCTTTTGGCTGGGTTGGCAGTTTTCTTCATTCAGTTCAAGCTTTTCCTTGGGGCTGACAGATTAGTTGTGTCAGTACCAGGGGTAAAACCATTTGAAGGCTGCTTTTTGGTCTATATGGGAGGAAAGAAACTCTCAAGTATTTGAGAACACCTATGCTAATTGAGTACTTGTGATATGTTGCTAAATGGGATTAAGGGAAGACTTTGTTCATGGTCATGGTTGGCTGTTCATAAGGATTTTAGGGGATTGGGTTATAATAGATTTTTTGACAGAGATGTTAAGCTTTTGTTAACAAGTTGTATGGTCCTATACACAGGAGGGTACATGGTTTATATTTGTAAAATTTTTTGTTTATATCATTAATACAATACCTTACTTTTTCAAAAAAAGAAAAACAAGAACTGAGATAAATATGAAATGAGCTTCTTTATAGACAGGGAGGCTATCATTATCATATGTGTAAACCTTAATCATATGTTGCACATCTATCCTCGATGTACAAAGATGATGGTCCAGTCATGTGCTAGCAACTTGAGTTTTAGCATCACACAGTATCACTTTGAGAAGAAAATTCTTGTCCCAAGAAAGGAATAAATCCTACTTACCCTTGTGATTACACCTACCCTTATGGCAGACATGCATAGAGACTAGGAGAGACCATGCAACAGGTCCAACTAAGATATCCTAAAGTTTTAATCTGACACAATCAAATTTATAAACTTCTCCGTGGCATGTCAATTTATTTTTACATCTAATTTGAATTGGAGGCTTGGGATCCACACAACTAGATCAATTCTCTAATGAACAAGATGTCAAGATCCCCTTTGGTAGGAGTTATTGGAGTTGGTCCAAACCCACACTCTCTCGTGTGCAGAGCATATGAGTCTCCTGCCCAACCTTACAGGTATTCAAGAAGCTTAACTGAACTCAAATAAGCCTCAACCCCAACTACTTGGACTACACAAATCCTTTCCTGCAATTGTGCTTTGTCAAGAGCCATGTTTTCTATCAAATTGCAAGTCTTCAGATCATTTTCTACCACTTCAAATCACGGTTTCTTTGGCCTTCCCCTTGCTCATTTATAGCCTTCTACTTGAACCAAGGCACTCCTCACCAGTGCAGTCTTGGTCATCCATGTACATGACCTAACCATCTCAAATTGGAGACATTCCTAAGTCCTCTCCGATGTGCTCATTTTTAACTGTCCTTTCTAGTCTTGTGACTTGCCACTCATCCATTTCAACTACTTTCATTTTTTGAACATGTTTTTCTTGATTGCCCATCATTCTGTCTGATGATAGTAATGGTGATCTAATAATTGGCTTATGAAATCTTTCTCTCAGGCTAACAAGCAAGAAACTTGGGTTCAAGTCTAAGAAAAGCCACATTGTGCAAAAAAAAAATGCCAAAGGTTAGGTCTATGTCCATTTAACTCTCCCTCTCCCAAGATCCAGATAGCTGGGGTCATCATTGGGTAATGGGCCTAATGGCCCTTAGGTTTCCTTTGTTTCATTGATATATGCCAACCATACAGCACACTTGATGCACCTTTCCACTTCAACCATCCTGCTCTAATTCTATGCATAATATCTTCTAATTTCCCCCTCACCACAAATGATTGATCCAAGGTATCAAAAGTGGTTAGTCTGGAGTCCCTCCTGATCACCTTTTTCAAGTACACCACTATGGCACTATGGTTGCTAACATTTTACTAAAATTGCAATGCACGTATTCTGTCTTAGTCCAACTAACCGTTTGGTTCTAAAGCATTTCTCCATTGTTCTAGCTTTGTTTTCAGCTCATTTCGAGTACTATCAGTAAATACTATGTCATTAGCAAACAAAATACACCATGGGATCTCCTACAAATGTCTAGTTAGTTCATCTGTAACTAATGCAAAATGACACTAGTGTTGACCCTTGATGTAAATCAATTGCGATTGGAAATTCTCTTATCTGTTCTTCCTAAGTTCTTACACTGGTCACTACCCTTCAATACATTTCCTTGACGATATCAACATGCCTACTTAGTACTTACAAGCCCCTTTCTTAAGTACGTGTACAAAGGGGATAAGGGGAGAGATAAACTCTCTTAACTCTCCCAAATACAAACAGCAAAATTACAATACAGCCCAAAATAAATGATCCCCTCCCGCCCCCTGATTTTCTAATGTATCAGCGAATGAATTAGCATTCCTTTTCACCCATTGCACATTGATTTCCATTCCCCAAGACAGCCAAGTACCCTTTTCTCATTAATATAGCATAGCACCACCATCCATCCTCCTCTTCCTTCTTTAACTACTCTAACTAACTTTGAATCCCCCTCAATTACTAGCTTCTGAATGTTCAGCTCTCTGGCCCTTTGAAGACCTTCCATCAGGGATAAGGCTTAGATGATGACGACAACGACGACGATGATGATGATGAATCATTGCTCAACCCTTCCCAAAGTTTCAGAGATGGCTCATAAGCTTAATTCCACAATAATTATTGCCACTTCATACATCACTTTTGTTGTCATATAAAGGGACCATTTACTTTCACTCATCAGACATTTTCTTTGTTTTAATAATTAAGTTGAACTTACTTTCAAAAAGTTGCAAAATATATAAATAAAACTTACTTTCCATGAGCAGTTTCTCCAGAGAGCATTACTGCATCAGCACCCTCACGGACTGCAATGGCAATGTCCGAAACCTCTGCTCGGGTTGGTGTAGGATGAACAATCATGCTTTCCAACATATTTGTTGCCACGATAACAGCTTTTCCCATACTACGGCAAATTCTAATAATCTCTTCCTGCATTAAAAGAAGCAATTTGCTTTCCAGTAAGTAACTCAAATTAAGGAATACCTCTGAGTCGTCTTAGAAATACATTGTTTGGTTGAGCAATTTAAGCAACAAGTCTCTTCCTATTTGTAAACCATGCTTTCTCTGTAGTGCCTTTTCCGTCAGAAATAAGAAAACTACCTGCAGCAGTGGAACCTCCTCAATAGGGAGCTCAGCACCAAGATCTCCCCTGGCAACCATAGCCTACACATGATTATTCATTAAGATCATTAAATCACAGGATGGTCAAACTAGAGAATATACATTTTCAATAGTTATACCAGTACCAGGTTGTCTATTGCCTATGAGAAAGAAATAGATATATATTAAAAGGGAGAAAATTAGAGAGAAAGCAAAGTACAAATGGTGGATGATGTAATATTTGGTGTATGCCACAAGGGGCATTTTGGTCTTTTTACTTCTTTTAAGTTGTGCGGTCACCCTAGTATATATAATAAAAATACTGGCGCCCCCAGTAGATGTTTTGAGTTTTCTCTCAACCTCTTTCTCTCTTCTCCCCTTCTCTTCTCCTCCTCTCCTCTTCGCCCACTGCCCTGGTGATTGGAACATGGTACCAAAGCGGGACAGTGCTCTGTAAATCATCTCCTGCAAGTCGAAACTCTCTCTCCTGCTCCTGTAGACTGAGAAGTGGAAGAGACACACTCGAACTCCATTTGAAGACTGTTCATTCTTGTCCTGCCCCTGTTTCTTGGACTGCAACTGATTCATACGACACCCAGAGGTCAGTGGATGACTGACCGAATCTCCCTAAGAGGTCGGTGTTTTTATTCCTGTGTTTTTTCTTGTTGTTCCTGGGTTGGAAACTACAGGGATCCTGGACTGAATACAAACAGAAGCTTAACCCCCCCCCCCCCTTTTTCTTAGTTCTTGGTGTTGAAACCAAGAACTGATTAAGTTATTCTGCTTGACTGAATGATATAAAGAGAGTTTATCCCTCTTCGTGGGTGTGAAGACCCAATAATCTTCATGTTTGAGGAATCTTGGTAGGTCATAAGTGACCTGGTTTGACTGACAGACGGCAGCAGCCTCTTTAAATGTTTTCTGTAGTCCGTATTGCCTTAAGAAGACACCTCTCAGGTCTGTGAAAATCTGAGACAGCAAGAACTGTGCTCTGTTTTTAGCAGATTTTTTGTATTTACCTAGTTGGGTAAGGACTGTAATCAGTTTGTGTCTGCTGCTTTCACTTGGCTCCAATGAATTCTGAAGAGTCTGCAACTTCAGAAGCTACCTCACATCAAGGAGGAATGTCTGGTGGTTATGAGACCCTGCACTTTCCTATGACCATTACCCCCTTGGACGGCAGAAACTACTTAACTTGGTCCAAGGAGATGCCAAGGCCTACAAACAGTTGGTCTCCCAGCAACAGGTGTTTGCTTTCCTTCTTTGCCTTAAACCCATGTATGAGCCTATCTGGGTACAGATTTTGAGCAGCAAGGATCTCCCGTCTGTCCAAGAGGTGTATGCTTTAGTTCAGTTTGAGGAGAGTAGTAGGTCTGCTATGAATCCTCTTGAGGGGGAGACCATAGCTTTAGCCACAAGAAGTAATACCAATTCACTAGGAAGGGGGAAAATCAGAAAAAGGTGGATGATAAGGATAAATTATGGTGCACTCACAGGAACTCAACAAGAAATCAGCAACAGAACAAAACAATAAGCCAATTCAGAAGAAGTTCACCTCTGCCAATCTTGCCTCACATGAATCTCCAGATTGTCCCTCTAGTTCTGATCCCAAGGAAGATATTATCAGCTCCTTCTGTGACCATTTGGAGCAGTATGGTAGGACTATCAGACAAACAGATCCTAGACCTGCACTTTCTACCTCATTTGCTTCTTCCTCAGGTAACTTAACCTCTGCTTTTCATGTGACTACTGATCCCCCGGAGTCTCCATGGATTATTGACTCTGGTGCCTCCAACCATATGATTGGTAAGTCAACTTTGTTTCAATCATATACCCTTCTATCTGGAAAAGATAAAGTGAGGCTTGCTGATGGATCCTTCTCCTCCATTGCTGGTCAAGGATCTATATCTTTACCTTTTGGTCTCTCATTACAAAATGTTTTGCATGTCTCAAAAATGGCTATTAATTTGTTATCCATCAGTAGTATTACACATGCTTTGAATTGCTCAGTAACTTTCCTTCCCGACTCTTGTGTTTTTCAAGATTTGGCTTCCGGGAGGACGATTGGTAGAGGTAGCATGGTCGATGGCCTCTATATGCTAGAGAATAAAGTTGGTCTTGCAGTTTCAGAGTCTTCAAGTCAGTCTAGTAATAGTCAAGTTTTTTTGTGGCATCACCGTTTGGGTCATATGTCTTTTAAGTCTTTGAAGTACTTATTTCCAGATTTATTTGTCTGTTCCTGTCAATGATTTTCAATGTCAAGTGTGTCAACTAAGCAAGCATTGTAGAACCTCATTTCCTTTACGTAATAAAATATCGGATTTTCCTTTCCATATTGTGTACTCTAATGTTTGGGGACCTATGAATATTCCAACTGAGAATGGCTACAAGTACTTTATTTCTTTTATTGATGACTTTTCACGATTCACTTGGGTGTACCCTATGCACTCACGAGAAGTTGTTCCTAAGCTTGTGAAAGATTTTCAACGAATGGTTTACACCCAATTTCAGACAGAGATTCATGTCTTTCAATCAAACAATGCCAAGGAGTACTTTCATGGAGACCTCTCCAACTTCTTTACGTCCTATGAATCTATTCATAGGAGCTCATATGCAAGGACTCCCCAATAAAAGGGGGTTGTAGAGAGAAAAAATCGTCACATCTTAGAAGTTGCTCGAGGACTCTTGTTGCAGATGCAAGTTCCAAAAAGATTTTGGTTGGATGTTGTTATGACTGCCACATATATTATCAACAGGATGCCTTCTCGGTTGTTGGAATATAGGTCCCCACACCAGCTCCTCTTCCCCAAGGCTCCATTGTTTCCCATACCCATGCGTGTCTTTGGGTGCCAATGCTTTGTCCATGATCTCTCCCCTACCCAGGGTAAACTTGATTCTAAGGCTATTATGTGTGTTTTTCTTGGATATCCCCTTTCTCAAAAGGGTTATCGATGTTTTGATCCAGTCTCAAGGAAATATTTTGTCTCTATGGATGTCTCATTCTTTGAAAATGTTCCCTTTTTTTCTGCTTCCCCTCGGGGGAAGAATCTTGGTGAGGAGAAAAAGAAACGGACTCCAGTCTTGTTGCCTTCCCCACTTGACTCTCCTCCATTTTGTGTCTTTCGGAGACAACGTTATAGAAGTCAAGGCCAACAGAGTTCAATAGCCAAGGGACAGCCTAAGACTACGCAAACAATGCCATCGAACTACCAGGAGTTGAATCAATGCCCTCACCCAAGTACTACTATTCCTGTTGAAACTCCTGAACCCATTGACATTGACACTTCAAATTGTGATCTAGACCTTCCTATTGCAAAAAGGAAGGGGGTTAGATCATGCACCACACACCATCCC